CGCTCCTTTTTCGCTTCTCCTCCTCTCCCTCCTCCTCTCCCTGTTCTCCCTCCTCTCTCCCTCCTCCTCTCCCTCCTCCTCTCCCCTCCCTCCTACTTCTTTCCCCACCGCACCTCTACAAACGACACCTCCAAACCACAAGGAGTTCTTCTTCAAGTGTAGTCGTCACCCCACCACTGCCGATGAGCAGTGCGTGGCTCTTCACATGGTCAGGAAGAACACGGTCGGTGTGGACTGTGCATCCTGCTTTGAACAGAGGTGAGAGACGTGAGAATTTACAATTTACTGCCGTTCTTTATTTCTCTCAGTTCTGTACCATACTAATACATTAACTTCCAAATAAGGAACACCTATGAATATTATATGTAGGTCACTTTCAATGACCCTTATTCTGAGATTTCACTACTTTCACTGTAAATGAGAGTGTATTTTCACTATGAATGATTTATTTTTCCGAGTTTTCTCTTAGAGTCCCTTTATATACACTTTTTCTCTCTTGCAAGGTTTTTTTGCCGTACCACAGTTTTGTTATCCTCTACACACACACACCCTCCCTCCCTCCCTCCCTCCCTCCCAGGGACACAGTAGTGGTGTTTGACTGCCCGGACAAACACACTCTCTGTCTCGACTGTTTCATGGAGTACTGCGAGGTCCAGCTGCAGGACCGACAGTTTGAGGAACACCGCTCCGCAGGGTACACCCTCCGCTGCCCCGCCAAATGCGAGGGTTCTGAGATTAAAGAGAGCCATCATTTCAGAATCATGGGCCCTGAGAAGGTATTTATTTCTGCACCAAATTTCACAGATTTTGAAGCAGGCAAGCCTCTTCGAAATTTCAAGCACGAGTTTATTGGAGCATGTTATAATGGTATTTTGCCTCGTCTGTTGTATCTATTTCCCTCTTTCCCCTCGTCAGTATGATCGCTACCAGAGGTTTGGAACTGAGGAGTTTGTGCTGCAGATGGGCGGAGTCCTGTGCCCCGCCCGGGGGTGTGGCATGGGACTCCTTCCAGAAGACCCCACTGCTAGGAGAGTCCAGTGCCCTCGAGGAGAGCGGGGGATGTGGGGTAAGGACGGAGAAATAAATAACAAAGAGAGTGAGGGATGTAATAGCCGTAGGCGCATTAGACACGTTATTGGCATGCAAGTGGAATAGAGCGTTTGAGAAATGAGGTCGGCTTGTAGTGCTCGGCCCAATGATGTTCTGCACACAGTAAAACATCCGAAGAGGAACCTCTGAATAAAGGACACTGCCCATTAGGGATGCCTCTGAATATAGAAGGTGGCCCTTATTCATACAGATTTCACTGTATAAGTACGTATATAGAGCCCTGTGGAGTTGTCTGTTGTCAGATCGTATTTTCCTCTTTTCCCTCGCGACAGTTTGTGTTTTGTCGCCATTGTAAGGAGGAGTTCACAACGGGACGTGTCATCGAGCTCACACGGAGGAACACACAGCTCAGCCGGGCTTCCAGGTCCTCTCTCTCTCTCCCTCTCCCTCTCTCTCCCCCTCCTTGTTTAGAGTTCAACAGTCGTCTTCTGATGCATCTTTCCTCTAATCCATTTGTGCCTGTCACTCTTTCTAACTAATAGCCACCACCATCCAACCCTATCTTCCACTCCCTCCCTCCCTCCCTCCAATCCTGCAGGTCGACCCGGAGAGACTCCAAAGAGCGAGGTGGATTGAAGCCAGCGAGAGGTTCGTTCAGAGCAACACGAAGCAGTGTCCGAGGTGCCGAGTTCCGGTCGAAAAGAACGGTGAGAGAAAATGAAGATCGTGCTTTTTAGGCACTACAACTATAAAAGTCATAATTATTGGAGAGGTGTCTTTGTTTTAGCGCTATATACCTTTAGAGGGGATCCACCATGTAATAGTGCCATAATAATTGGCGAATGAAGCGAGCTTTTCTAGTCATCCGATTATAGGGCCTTCTATGTATGGGCACTGCCACATTGATATAGTCCTATTCTGCTGCAACCCTGTTAAGAATATGAATCCAGTTGGTACAAGAATACACGTAATGATTCTAAATTCTACATTTGAATGTTCTAGCAATTCTATTCACTTTTGTATGTTTTGACGCAGGGGGTTGCATGCACATGACCTGTAGTATGGGGAACTGCAAGTTTGAGTGGTGTTGGATCTGCGGTGTGGCCTGGAACAGAAACTGCCAGTCCTCACACTGGTTCGGATAGCCTGCTCCAATTAGAGCACACCCAGTGTGACATAATTGTGTATACTATTAACCACAGACCGACTTTTCTGGCTATTAATTTCGCCGTAATAAAAAAAATGGAGTTGGCGTGCACTTTTCATAATGTTATATATACCAATGCAGTAAAAGTTGTGTTTGGCTTGTTTTGTCACCATTTTTGTAGTCACTTATTTTGTATTCCTATTTTCCACTCAAAAGTTATTATAGGATTTGGTAAATAATTAATGAAAAGCACTAAAGTGCAAACCCTCGGCACACTCTATAGAAATGTGGAACCCATACACAAGTGTGGCACCACCACAATTGATGCTCTTGACCATGCATAAAAAAGAACAGCATGTTATGCCATTCAATAGGTTGAAAAAAAATGCCCAGCCCTATATCTGTTTGAGGCCCAAAAAATTATATAAGGTTGAAAAATTGCCAACCTTTCATCTCTCTATTAATTTTTGTATTACCCGTGGATTGTTTAGTGCTAAAAAAAAGTTTAAAAACCCAAGGTTGAAAAAAAATTGTAAAAACGGCCAGCCCTTCATCTCTCCAGACAGACGTCTACGGACGCAGTGCTATGCCGAACTATACGCTGCCCTTTGAGAAACGTGGGTCAGTGGTAGATTTGTGGGTAAGGGGAGGAACCAGAGCTGTTCCCAGCCAATGCTCTGGACCACCTGACACTTTAGTGTGGGATCGAGGATTCGAACCGGGCACCTATGGTGTCAGTCCCCACGACTCTAACCACCTAACCACTCCGGCTGGCCTTGAGAGGTAATGAAAAAACGTTCCACTTATACCAACAGCCAACACTCCTATAATTATATTACATCATTGTAAAAAAGGCGCACACACCCGGGATCGAACCAGGATCTCACGATCAAGAGAGGGGGTGCTTATCCCCCACCCATTACTTACTACGCGGGCTAACTACACTACTAGAGAGGCCCTGCGTTGCATCTTCTGGTGCCTCCGAAGTATATACGCAGAGCACGCGGATCGATCCGACTGTAGTAAGCCGTTGTGTATTTGCATATTGGCTTTTTCGCGCTCTAGCTTTGCAACGGAGCAGTTTCAGAAAAAACCGTTCGAAATTTCTGACCTTCATTGCCCGTTAAGTAGATCGTGTCCTTTCTGAGACGAACAAAAAGTGAGATTGAGAGTAACTGACAGAGACACAGACAAACCCAAAACTACAGTAACCCTCGCTGCGCATGCGGGCCGAGGGTTAGCAAGCAAAAAGCAAAAAGACATGACTAGTAAGCAAAGCTGTGAGTGCACAAGTCTTCATTACCGATCGGTGCACATGCACAGCGAGGGTTATATATAGTACTTGGTCTGTGTGTGTGTCTGCCAGCAGCTATTCTCGCACTACGAGGCGGCCCATGAGCGATACCAAACGCTTCTTCATAATTATTGGGCAGTGGACAACCAGCATGCATATCATTAAATTTATTAATGGTGGGATGTTAGTCCTGCAGGTGTATATATCGTGGATCAGTTGTTTTTGGAGATTGTGGATTTGTCGTCTAGTTGTTCTTCTGTCTTCTCCAGAATCGCCTAACCTCCTCGTGGCCGTACTGCGTCACCACCATCAGTCTCCTCCCTGGGTTACTCCAGGACAGGACTCCCAAATCCTGCCCGGGACGGAAAAGAGGGAGGGAGAGCTAGTAGCCTTGCCCCCCCGCTCCGCCCACGAAAGAGCTCTCATTTCGTGGGTGGGGCCTGGGGACGAGGCTAGGAGAGCTAGATACAAACATTACTCTTTGGCAAACGAAGCGAGTACTGCACGTTTTTCGCAACGAAACTTCCGAATCCTCCAAATTATAGGGACACCTCAGAATAAAGGACAATTTTCTTGGTGTTTGTCTCTTATTCAGAGGTTTCACTACATGAGGACGTCCACTGTAGTATATATAAAGTATAGTTAATGATAGATATTTACCTCAGCATATCTCTTGACTTTGTCAAAATCACTGGCCGACAAAAACTCAGAGTAAAGGACACCTGTATAGTTAGAACCCCAATACAATAATTATTGCTGATGAGGGATGAGAACCCCAATACAATAATTATTGCTGATGAGGGATGAGAACCCCAATACAATGTATTATTGCTGATGAGGGATGAGAACCCCAATACTGATGAGGGATGAGAACCCCAATACAATATTATTGCTGATGAGGGATTATCGCAATAACCATGGAGAGTAAAGTGTACAATATCAAATACAGTTTTCAGTGTGGACGTATTAAATGTATGGCAATAAATATTAAATGGGTGTTGGCAAGTCTCCATGGAACAAAGTATAAGGATAATGTACCGTGGTGGATTGGGTGAATGCCGGAGCCTATGACACAATGGTTTAGGGTATGCAGAAGATTAGCTATGGGAGAGTCATGTAGTTCATTATAATGTATGGCAATAAGAGAGTCATGAGCTCCATTATAATTCATTGCTAATATCAGTTATAGGAACCTCTGTTATAGAGACTATGGGATAGAGTGTGAATAATCCCCCCATTGCAATGTACGGGCCATAAGGAATTGTGCATTATATATAGGCTGTGGTATATAAGGTATGATATTATTGTACCCAGACACTCATGTGTAAGTAAGTATATACCTTCTTCGAACTGCAGTCTATTTCTCTCAATTTCCCACAGTCTGATCTGGTCTGTAACAGTTGGTGGGATGATTGGGTTCTGTGCAGTTTTAGTGAGAGAAAGAGATGGCGGGGGGAGGGAAGTAGTGAGATATAAAGAAAGGGAATTTAAGGAAAGAGGGAGACATTTTAGGTACGTGACGATCTCACGTTAGCCAGCATCTGTGGGTGAGCGTGCAGCCTCAGAAAACTCAGGATCTGTACGGAGACGACGGAGAGAGGGAGAGAGAGAGGGAGAGAGGGAGAGAGGGAGAGAGGAGAGAGGGAGGAGGGAGAGAGGGAGAGAGGGAGGGAGAGAGAGAGGGAGGGAGAGAGAGGGAGAAGGGAAGGAGCCGTTAACAACACGTCAAAACCTGCACACACACGTACACACCTGTTCAGCTGTTATTCCATTGATAAGAGCCTGCGGACAGGAAAGAAACCAACCTAACAATATTCATGACCGCCAACTACGATCCAGCATCGGTACATACCACCACACACAGAGTTTGAAACCTTCTAGAACATTCCGTGGCCTACCTGATGAATACTCTCTCTGGTTATAGTCCCGACCACCATGTTTGGAAACCTGCAGTAGCACAAACACACAGAGCAATCGTGACGACGGTATTTTTTTGTTGAGTAGCAAGCATCCTACACCGACATGGGACACGACAGCATGCGAGACCGTCACCAAATCCGTGCTCAGTTTATGAAACCACCACTGGTATCGGGTGTTTCCCAACATACACAGAGCCCATTGCGGGGAAAGATGGACTTGGAACTACCTCACTGCACGGTGTACTGTACCTATCCAGAGATACGATAGCTGGAGACATGCCAAAACTGAATAAGCAAAGTCTGGAGATGGCACGAGCTGCCTCTTTACGTCACGAAGCATTCCACACGTAAACAAACTGAGAAAATGCTTGTTTTGCTAGGATGACTCATAGCTAATAGAACTTATTCTATGAACACTACTAGCCAACGCTTTACGTAGAAAGATAGACAAGATAGAACGACCCACAGGGCCTTAACAGTTTGTATTAATGTACCAAGTTACGTTTGTCAGTAAAAATACATTTCTACAAGGAATTAGCTAATGTGCATAAGAATGTTAAATATTCTCTCTAAAAACCCAATACAGCATGTCATGCGGGAGATATTTTGCACATTGCTGGGCGAGTAGGAAAGCATCCCTAAATATTCAGGAAAGTCCCACCAAATTGGGGTTGGCATGTACTGAGAAGTCGATAATCATCTTTGGAGGCATACTGAGTAGCACCAAATTTCCAAGGCCCGTCGATCAGCGGTTTTAGGAGTTTCACGGAAACATAATTTTGTGGAAATTAGGCCTACATCATCGTATGCAGTATCATTTAACCACTTGATGGTAAAGAAAACGACATTTGTTTAGTAATATCTTAGCACATTATTCAACCTCCAAACTAGAGGAAAATACTAATTGAAGGTGTCATATATTGAACTGTATGATAATATACCTGTACTGTAGCTGGCAGAACAGAGAGAGGATGGATATCTGCAACTGGGAATCTTTACAGATAAAATGGAGGGAGAGGGAGGGGGGAGAGGGGGAGAAGGGGAGAAGTGGAGAGGGGGAGAGGGGAAGAGGGGGGAGTGAGGAAGGGAAGAAGGAAAGGAGTGAGGGGGAGGCGGAGAATTGTTTGTTCAGAATTAAATTCCAATCATTCCCCAGCTCTCAAGCCAAGTGTGGTACAAGTACACAAACACTCTATAGAAAACCAAAACGCCAACGATCACCATTTCTTAAAGCTCCCACTGTGTTTTACAGAGGCGAGACTAAGACTGGCCACATATACTCAATCCAAAAACAGTCCATTTCTTTTGCCATTATCACGTGCTCCAAGTGCCTGCACATGCAGGCTCACAAAGGCACGAAAAACATTAGCACGAGCACCTCCAAGGAATTCCTAGGCTCTCCTAAATGTCCGAATTTGGCAGTAAGGAATGCTAACAATTTGCTTGGTCTAGCTATCGAATTTCAAGCGGTGGTTACGGAAACTGTTCCCTTGACAATTGCCACGGGGCAACTAGTGGTGAGTCTCAGAGGATGTACTGTTAGGGACAAGGTCTCATTGTCACGGAGACTGTTCCCTTGACAATTGCCACGGGGCTATATACTAGTGGTGAGTCTCAGAGGATGTACTGTTAGGGACAAGGTCTGATTGTCACGGAGACTGTTCCCTTGACAATTGCCACGGGGCTATATACTAGTGATGCACTGTTAGGGACAAGGTCTCATAGTGTCTCAAGGTTTTGGAAATCTGCAGTGTCTGACTATTATGAATATTGAGTACATTTCCTTTTAAGTGCCATATATTATATAGACATCAATAGTACTGTAAAGTAGCGATTTCGTAACCAGCTTCAGACACACAAATACTCAAAATTTGTGTTCACAAATTTTGAATGTTTTGAGCCCTCGGTTATCAAATCTTTTTAGCATACACGAAATTATATTGTATATACCCCTAGCTTTCTGGTCTTTAAAAATGAATATCTTTTGGGCACAATACACGTACATTGTCAGCACTGCTTTCGCTGGCAGAAGATAGCTACTATGAAATTCACTAGGCAGCCTTTCTCAGAATTTCTGCAGAGGCAGCTAGCTAGTCTTACACTCAACACGATTCACTGGAAATCTCAGCCTGAAGGCAGCGGTAGGTCTATCGCATTTGGTAACACCTGCTCTCTTATGATTAGCCTTATACACGGAAAACTGCCAATGAATATGAAAGGGTGCAAGGGAGGAAATTGTCCCCTGAGAATAATCGGCCCCTTATTTAATCACTTGTAAAATTGACTTGTGTTTATACCTCCTTGATTATATAAGATGCTCTTGGCTAGGGAACATTTTCTAGCTCTTACATATAAAGCACGGCATTACCCACATTCTGTTACACATAATATACATGTTTGAGCTATAGTAAGAGTTCTATGCTCACTTTCAGTATACATATAGTAATGTGTCGCACTGACGCATAGAGCGAAGGGAGTTTTGGCAATATTGTGCTGGAGGTTAGTTGTTACAGCGACAAACTTCCCCAGTTTATTCCCCTCCACACACACCCCACCTAGCAAAACAGCCACCTACCGCAACGGAAATTAGTTCAGTACACAGAAAACAGTTATTCAAAACCCATATAACCTCCTACCATAACATACACACACACAAAATATAGCCTTCCCAGCACAACACACACACACACACACACACACATTATATATATACCCACATATGGAAAATGTAAGCGTGAGAGGGGGAATACAGTGATGGCTCAAAATCTACTTCATTTTCCGGCAGTCTTCAGATTCCAAACCTACCTGTGTACGCCAACACTCTGAAGTTTGTCTCCATAACAACGAACCCGGGAGAAGATGCCCGCGGAGCCACCGAGACACTCTGCGATGAAGATGAAGACAGCCTGGCTCCTATATACAGTGTCATCAACACAGTTAAGGCAATGTTAAGGCAAACAACATTAAAAAAACCCAGGACAACCTCTTTCCTTCCATGGATAAAGAGGTATAGCATTATCCTACGTGGGGTGGGGTTCATATGGAGAGGAAATTTTTGTGTCCACTCTCTGTCAAGATTTTCCCACATTTTGTGAATGTTTAGGTAAGCAAAAGGTTTATACCACTTCATCATAAATGTTTTGTGATTGATTTTTTTATGACGAGTTGCATCTGTGGTGTTCTTTGAGTCCTACCCTCGGCAGCTCAACTCTATGAAAAGGTGTAGGTAGCTATTATGCTCGAAAAAAGCCTTTTTTTGCATTTGCATTTAGTTTTTTTTTAAAGCTTTGCAACATGCGTAGCTTCAGCTACCTACACTGCTAGTGTCCACAGGAAGAGCAGATAACTTACTACTATAAGGGGAAATACCCGGGTTATTCCCCCAGCTGGATACACATAGTTAACGGCGTCAGAGGGTTTACCAACGCAAAAGACGTAGATAGAAAGGCGTGGCTGCCCACGCTGCAGCAGCCTCGCGCCTGTAAATTTCCCTCGAAATCACGAGTTGCCGATGATTATCCCGCGCATGCACCTCCCACACGCCGACACGTTCCAACGTCCGCTGCAGGCACGAGCGAGTTTTACAAAACTGCAGCGTCATTGCGTGTCGTCCTGCCTGTACTATAAAACCTCGAGAGCAGGCACTGCTGATCATATTTCATTAAATATAGCATAGAACCTGGACCGACGGTTTGGTACAGCAGCATTGCTCGTGGTGGGAACTGACGGTCGCAGCGGAGGGTTCTCCGCATCCGCACCGCCGCCGGAGAATTCCGCCGTCGTCGTCGGAGCTGGAGGACGTAGTAGAAGGAAAGGGGAGCAGGATGTGTTGTAGATTGGGCTTGGTCGGCAGGAAAAAGGCGCCGAGCTTCGTCTCCAAGCGCATCCTGCCAAACAAGTCCGATCTACAAGGCACTGCTCCCCGCGCGCACCGCAACTCGCGTCCATCCGCACGCGCTAGGAAGGCGATGCAAGCCTTCGACGCCGCGACAACGTACACTGCGAGCTACCGTACGACAGAGTGAGGTAAGAACACATTAGCATTTCTGTGGAAATTGTAGCGCATGCTTGTATCTGGGCCCTGCAAATGAGGTTTGTGCATTGATAGTAGAGTAAGTGCTGGTAATGGGTGTGCACCTGAGACTAAGTCAATAGCAAGCTTTGTAGGGTAGTACCGCCTTGAGCTTCTCTGAGAGTGTTGGGTGGAAGTTTTAGGAGAGAAGAAGAAAGAAGGGGAGATAAAGAGGGAGAGAAAGGAAGGGCCAAAGAAGCAGAGGAAGGGTATATACAAAAGGAAGGAAATCACAGTTTAGTATGGGCACACACCACTCAGGAAGGAGTCTCTATATATACAGACACACAGAGTGAAAAGCATCAAATCAGAGTCTGCAATAGAGGAAACGTCTGGCCCTGTTAGCATCGTATGTCCAGTGTTCCGGCCTATTTGGCAGACAGCTATGTAGCTATATACTCCCGCTGATAGCGAACACTAGGGTAGAGAAGTGGTATATGGGGAATCTTTATCAGGGCTACTCAATAGTTTCTTTTTTAGAACGTTGGAACCGGAATAGGACAATAGCAGTTCAGAATGCATGGTGTGACAGACAATGGTTCATATTATTATGACTGTGCAAACTATGTCCTTAAAATAGTAACAGGATGAGGTCATGAGTATGCATAATATGAATCTGGCCACATATCGGCTCATTCTCGAGGACCACGAATGTTTGGACAGCCGGCTGGCCCTGGCAAGGGATAATTGAATTCATAGCCACTGAGGTCACCTGTCAACTTGTTAGTTGTGAGTCTTCGAGCGTGGATATGGAGGATTTGAGAACAAACGACTCTTTAAAAGGCAATCCAGGTGGTATTACGTTGTTATGACACATGATGCGTGTCCACATTCAACGAAAATTAATGCCATTAATCTGTCCACAGTTTCCGGGAAATGTTGTACCCATTAGTAATGGTGGTAGCTCACACCTTCACTAAACTGCGTACTTTGGCAAATGTGTCTCCTTAGAAGCAATTGATAGACAGAGACAGTAGTCTTGAAAATGACATTGAAGCATCTCGGGTAGCTGCATTTATAACCTAACCAGTATATAATATACTTCCGAAACGTGTTGCTTGCGTTGTCTGTTGGTGATACACACCTCAACCAATAACCCGCATGGAGTACACTAAATCAATCAGGAATCTGCTATATAGCAAGACGTGGAATGCTGCTGATAAGATTCGTGCGAGTTGTAACCTGTTTACTGAGCTGGGCCGGCAGTCTAGCTGACTATTACTACACTCTACTTTACAAACCATACAAGACTGGGAGGGGCGGAAACACCTTATGCTGCACAGAGGTGGAACTACTGCTGCTATAGGGCAGGCTAGCTCAGCAATATAGTCTTTATTGTAATCTTTGTCCTGAGCCTACTCTGTACACATTGGAGTGTACGTATCAATCAAACCACGTGAGGTGCTGTTAGAAACACCGGATATTGAAAGAGTATATATGGAATTCGAGAGATTCAAACTACATTCTGTGTATTGGAGGCCCACAATAGCACGGCAGCAATCAGTGGATATTTGTAACTTCAAAAGAACACATTGGGACAATTAGCTTTAATACAGAGGTGCTCTATTAATTATTTGGCGATTAATTAAACGATACACTAGCACCGGATTGAGTGTCCTTATAGAGAAATGGTTACTATCCAATATTGGAGATTTCTAGAAAGGGAAAAGGCTGATGTGCCAGGAAGGAAGTATACCTACAAACTATGCTGTGTTTTCTCAGAAAGCTGCCAAGTGGGAGGAACGCATGTTCGCTACAACTTTTACGCTGTTATCTCCTCTCTTCTCAAGTATTGCAGTGAATTCCCCACAGCCGCGTGTGAAATACCTCACGTAGTTACTCTCCATGACTGCTACATTCACTGACACATTCACAGTAAGGCCTAGTACGTACAATCAAAAATGTTAATCTTTTCGCGGCCCAAAACTCCCGATTTTTTGCCACATTCCTCATCCACTCCCTCACTCCACGGCATAAATTCCTACCGAGGCTCATATCAGAATCCCAGACATGGCTTTTCATAATTTTACCTCAGTGTTTTCCTTCTCCCCCCATTCTCCCCTACCGTCCTCATTCTCTTCCTCTTCCTCCTCTACCTTTCTCTGGTAGACAAGTCCAAACATCCTCAGATGCTGTAGCAGTCCCTCCTGGCACTCCGTCATCCCTTCTCGAGAATAGTCCTGCGGATTATGTCAGCAAAATACTATGAGCTAGCAATACTCTTCTTTTTTTTTTCACCGACATAATATTAGCGATGTCTCATCTTAGCGCTCAGAGGAGGACCTCACAAGAGAGTTAGGAACCACCACAGGACCTCCCAGTACAGGCAGGGGGTGGGTCTTCATTGTTTCAACCCTTCCTCAAGTACTACATAATTCAGATACTACACAATGTAGGGCTACAATAGCAAGTACATATGCTGCCTCCAGACTTCTGTGACTCCTCCTACCACTTAGTGTAGCTATATACCTCCCTTGGTAGTTAGACTAGCACCAATTTTTTTTCAAGACTTAGACATAGGGAAACTCTATTTTCATTTCTTCAACTCAACTGCTTTATGGGATGTGTTTTCCCCCAATATTTCACCTTATAGTTAACTAGTTAGTCTGGGATGTGAGTGTGCGTGTGTGTGTGTGTCCATATCGTCTGTGTACATATAGGTCCACTGTTCCCCCACCTTGCCAAGTGTGGAGAAGCTGAGCTGAAAGAGGTAACTGAGGCACTCCAGGAGGTTAAACCCTCTCTCCTACGGCAGGCAAAGAAAACACATCTCTGTATGCATTTGCATCCCATGATACATATATACACAATGACACACACACACACACACACATCGTGTGAGTGTATCTCACTATAATAATATACTGAGTATAGGAATGGATATCGTATATTCCTAGACTACTATATACTCCTGTGACAAAGAGTTGCAGATTATGGACGTACACACAGTGTCTCCAAACTAAAGTCATCTGTCAACACTGAGAGTTATAAGAGGCTCTCTATTATTCATGCAGCCACATTCTCAGCAATGCATACGGCTGTATCAGATATCTAGCATCCCTGACGTTAGCTATACTAAGAGGTTTCGGCAGGTTGAAAGAACAAAGTACTGGCTCTATAGGGTATATACTTGGAGCCCTAACTGAATTCATTACTCCTGAATGGTATATATTCTCCAATGTATGGAGCGAGGCCCGATAAAAAGGTTTGACAATTTCTGTTTGAGAACAGAGTAAGGCAGGGCCAGGGCAGGTATCACTACAGCGGTAACAATGCTAACAATTTCACTAATCAAATCAGGAGAATTATATTAAGCTGACACCCACACTTGTTTGTTACCCCAACATACACGCTCAAGTTCATTGTGTGAGGCAAGTCTGGTCAATGTATGGGTATGATGATCAATGCATAGACAACACTTATAGGAACCAAACGGTATTCTAGTTGACCTGGTAGATGGATGACAGAGATACAAAGGTCAGGTGGGTAGAAGAAAGAACCAACTTCTGTTAGGAGTCAAACTCAGGCATTGTGACTGGAAGTACAGTACACTAGGCACTGAGCTACCAGATGAAACTGGTCTTCCATAGTCTCTCTAAGTATACTTCTATTTTAATGCAGCGAGTTGTGACGACCCTATCGTACCCATACCATACATTGAAGTTGCATGAGACTTTTGGTTGCCTCGTGCTAGTATAATATACAAAGCTGCAGTGAGCCCCCAACTCACCGCGGTGACAACTTGGAGGTAGTTGATGATGAAGAACCAGACCTGAGTGCTTCGCTCCAGCAGAAGAAACTGGAACCCTCTGGTGGTAATGGTCAGCCCCGATCCTCCATGGAGAGAGGTAGGCATACGACACAGATCGATGGGGAACTACTGTATAGCAGCCGTAAGCAAAACATTAGTCTAGTGAACTAGACTGATTTTTCGTTTGTGGACGTGAACTTAGCCTTTATAAGCTCGTGGTGCCAGAGAGAGAAGTTGTGGTATGCTCTGCTGATGAGGGCCAACAAGCCCGAAACAGCTGTCCAGAGCTCCCCATCTTTTTTCTCTTGCATCACATGGTGTATTTTGTTCATGTGGTACGAGAAAGAGGTCGGGGAAAGGGCGGCGACAAATACGTGTCCCCCAAGAATACGGCTGATTCACGAGACTACAAAAAGAGCAAGTGGTTGCGTCTTAGTTCAAACATGTAGCTATATAAAGTGTCCTCTTGAAAAACTGAGTATTACAGAATGCAATATTGAACCGTGTTGCCATATACGTGCGTGAGTCTTTTACAGTCCAACAGAAATGTATGGTTCATCTGCAAGATGTTTCGGCTGACCTGGACATGAGGTTAGAATGCTCCAGAATGTGCCTCACTTCCTGTTCGGTCCCCTGCTCCCCCTGACCACCCCCCACCATGAAATTCAGGACCCCCTGGATTGGTTGGACACACCCCATGAACCAATACACACACACACACACGCACACACGCATGCACACACTCTCTCTCTCTCTCTCTCTAGAAGAAAATACAAACCAACCATCCATAATAGTATATGTCTATAGCTGGAGTATGGATTATTAACATTCACTTTGAGTTAGCCAATTTTACATAACCGCCCCTCTCAGAGTATTTGTTGGCTAAACAGAGTTTTCGTCACAGCCAAGACTAGAGCTGCCATCCAGACATCTTCCCAAGACCGAAAGACGACTTGCTTACACACACAAACAACAACAACATACACCTCGTGCCAAAGTATATGTGTGAGAGAGGAAATTTTCGCTCTATTGCTGCATAGCGCTTGAACTATTATGCAATAGAATGTACTCATTAAAATTCATTGTTATGAGAATAAATAAAGCCCGAAAACATTGAAGTAACGCTGACGTTGGGAAAACTCGATATTATTTGAGCTATCAAAAACACCACGCAGAGTAAGTAGAGAACAAAAGATAGTAATATACAGACAAACTCAGTCACCTCCCACTGCTTATCAGCATAGTCGTTGAGAAAGGCAATGTCCCTCGCATGTTTGTCTTCTCCTCCTCTGTGACCAACTAGGGCCCATGGAGTACCCCTGCAACGACAAACAATATCACTTTAACCCTCTACGCTCCGTACACAAGGGGTTAACGGACCCTCCGCACAACAGGATTCGTAGATTTCTTCTAAAGTCTTCGTGCAGCGAGACACCTTGTTGACCTCCTGGCAGAGGAGATGTTTTGTAGACGTGGAGTCTCTGTAGCTTTGTAATCGCTTCGCGGTGGTAACTGCAGTGAACAACTCTGTCATTGTACGCCAGTTAACGACGCAGAGGATATAAACAACAGAGAACCGAGGAAATAGAAGTTTAAATACAGATGTTTTGTTAACATCACTGGTAAATAAGAAGAAGAGTTTTATTCTGTATGCGAGAGACAGTACCATAGACTACACAGTGATGCACTGCTGGGTAGAGAAATGAGCTGGACAGAATTAATGCGAATTAGTTTTGTGGGGTTCAGTAAACTTCTTTTCCTTGTGCCCATGGGGGGTACATTAAATATGACCCCTGTGTGTGCAGTAACCCTATGATAATGATTATAGCTATAATGCCGTGTGGGGAATTTTGTCTAGCAGAAAGTGCTGAGTGTAAAATTACACGTTGACCATTTCAAAAGCATCTTACAATCACTCCCGCACTGCTAGACCAGCTAATTCCATGAGTGTTACGTAACATCCAGTCTAAATAATTTTAAGACGATGGAATAATGAAGTATAATTATTATTGAGAGAAGGGAACCTGACAGCCTCTGGGTTACTCCAAGAATCCACGACTGTCTGAGAGAGGGGTTGGTCAAGGAACAGCAACCTCATCACATACATCTTGGACAATTCTGGCAGCTCTCTAGAGGTCGTCAGTAAAGATAGCTATTGAGGACACCCCGGACTATTACTATAGCTGAGTTTAGCGCATGCGTAAAACGACTGCGCGAGATTATTCACCTGAAGACGGCTAGACAGGCTGACGAGTATCCATAGAGACTGATGAGGACTGAGGTGGGCAGGTCTTCAAGGTAGGAGAGGAGATCCTTGCACACGATTTTGGCTTCCTCCATGATTTACCGCGAGCCCACACACGCGGAACATCGCGCATGCGTAAATATCTCACACGAAAGAAGGGCGTGGCTCGTGCACAGCTCTGCTGCATTACGAGCTAGCTAAGCTGCACACAGTTGGGGCAAGAGAAAGAAAAGAGAGAAAAGGAGGAGAGGAGAGATGACGCGACATGTCGACCAAAACTGGAAGCTGCTACAGCAGACGACGTTCACGAAGTGGGTCAACAACGCGCTGCGCGGGCACCTCAAGACGGCGAGGACGCAGGTAAGCGACCTACAGAAAGACCTGAGGGACGGTCTGGTGCTGGTGGAGCTGCTAGAGAGCATCGCCAGCCCCAGGAAAGTGGGTCGACACAACAGGGAACCCGTCATCAAGCCTCAGATGCTGGAGAATATTGGAGCTGTGTTGAGGTTCCTGGAGCGAGAGCAGATCAAAGTCGTCAACATCGGTAAGCTGTGAGGATAGCTATTACGATTATGCTACTGGCTATATTATCAGAGCTATGTGTAGCTACTGGCAAATTTCCCCCAGATTCTGGGAGGAAAATGTTAGCTTCCTTCCCCTTGAACCAGTATAATTATTATCTATGATACATTATAATTACTACTCTCTACCAGTAGCTAACATGTTAGGACAAGATACAGAATGTACGAAGAATCATTACTACACGAAGATTATGTTTGCACAATGCGTTGTAATACAAAACAGCAAGAGTATAATATGTCAAAGATGAAAAGCCTGGGATATATAGGGGTGTGTCTGAGGCACTGCACAAGTCTATGTAGCTAGGCAACCAGTCATGAATATTGTTTATCTAGTCCAGACTGTTATTCACGATACACACATCTAATAGGTTCAGTATTTAAAAATCCTTTCTCCGTATATACAGGCCCTGAGGATATTTACAGTGGGAATTTGAAGCTGATTATGGGGCTGATCTGGACCCTCATCCGCCACTTCCAAATTCGCAGTTCAGGTAAGGACCTATCGACCAAGAATGCACTCCTGGCGTGGATCAACACCCAGATCCCGGACCAGAAGGTCACCAATTTCACGACTGATTGGAACGACGGGATAGCACTCTGCGCTCTCGTGGATCGAATCAGACCCGGCCTTTGTCCGCACTATGCTACTCTGCGACGCTCCGAAGCCTTGGACAACTGCCAACTGGGCATGGATATAGCAGAGGAGGAGTTGGGGATCCCAAAGCTACTGGAAGCTTCTGATCTCCGCCACAGTGATGTGGATGAGTTGAGCGTCATGACGTATGTGTCGTATTTCTGTAAGCCTGCAAACGAGCAGCTACTGAGGTGGATTCAGAACAAGATCCCACAACGAACGATCACAAACTTCAAGAAAGACTGGAACAATGGGGTAAATCTTGCGTGCCTCGTCAATAATCTTGTCCCCGGGGTCTTCGCGGACTGCGAGGAGCTGGATCCGCACGATTCTCTTCAAAACCTCACGCGGGCTATGAAACTAGCAGAGGAGCGCCTCTGCGTAAAGCCGGTCGTAAAGCCATCGCAGCTCGCCGACCCCAAAGTGGATGAGCTAAATGTTGCCACATACCTCTCTCGATTTCAGTACGCAAAATTCTTGGCCTACCAACCGAAGGAGGTATCGTGTACTGGTCACGGGCTGCGAAAAGCTTTCATTGGACGGCCAACATTCTTTCAAGTGGATTCGTCCACGGCCGGAGTGGTGTGTTGAATGTGTCCATAATCTCTATGGGTGGGACTCCAGTGGCTGCAGATATTAACCCACATCCCACCCAGAAAGGCGTCTTTGAGGTACAGTACACCCCCAACCGAGCAGGCGAGCTCGCAATCAATATATCTTGGAGCGATCAGCAGGTCCCGGGGAGTCCGTTCGTAGTAGATATACTAGATCCCGGCGGCTTTTCCGTGTCTGGGAACCAGGTGACGGGGGGGCAGTGTGCCAGGGTAGGAAAGCCGGTCAGAATGGACGTGAAAGGTATGGTGAACGTAGCAGATCTCAGCGTTACGATCCAACACTCGGACGCACACACCACAAATGCAAATGTAACGCCGAAGGGTATCGACGCATTTGAGTGTTGCTACACTCCGACCCGTGTCGGAACGGACGGCGTAATGGTGAAAATAGCCGGGGAGAACATACCTGGTAGCCCATTCACTGTCAGAGTGGTGGACCCTACACAGTGCAGCGTCTCACACCGCGAACCGACGGCAGGTAAGAAAGCTCAGGCAAACAGTAAGGTGACTCTCACAGTCGCAGCCTCAGAGTCAAACTTACCAGGGGTTATCGTCGAGCTAAAGACACCCACCGGTCAACAAGAGTTGGCGCTCGAGCCGAGAGGAGACGGTATAAACATCGGAAGCTTTGTCCCTGAAACTACGGGGAACTACGGCGTCATTGTAACATGTGCTGGGGAGAACTTGAGAGGATCTCCTCTGAGTGTTGTTGTCACTGACCCATCAAAGTGTGCCATACTCGATATGATTCCGAGGTACTTGCAGCTGAATCGTCCGGTCGAGCTCAACATCAGCACAAAGGGCGCCGGTCAGGGAGCTCTGGAAGCCTCTTCTAATCAATCTGGAATTCTCGCGACTTCGTTGACCGAACGAGACAGCGAGTTTTACAGTCTTCGCCTCACTCCGCACGTCATTGGAGAGGCCACGATCGCAATCACGTGGAACGCCGACAACCTGTCCAACACCCCATTTGGTGTGTTTGTGTGCGATGCCTCCAAATGCAGTGCCTATGGACCTGGTCTCACCGAAGGCAAGGGAAAAGTGGGGGAAACGTTTGAGTTCACTGTCCAAGCCGCTCGGGCAGGTAGGGGTGAACTGGTTGTAAACCCCAGCGGAAAGAAAGCTGTGTACGGGACTAAAATACGGGAAGGTCAGAACGGAACCTACTCTGTTCAGTTCACTAGTTACGAACCAGGCCCACACACCATCGAGGTACTGTGGGGTGGCGAACCCATCCCAAACAGCCCTTTTCAAAGTATACTTTTCCAAATCCATGGAAGCGGCGCAGTTCTCGGCCCTGGGAGAGGGACTTGAGAACATTGTGGCTATGAAGATTGCGAAATTCTCAATCCAGGGGCCAGCAAGTGGAACGGGTCTCGTTTGGAAAGAGATGCTGAAAGTGAAGGTATCGGGAGAGGGCACAGAAAGTGTGACTGTAATAAGTTCTGCATTCGGACCGTCCACTGTCAAACCAGTAGTCTGCATCACAGAAATTGGAAGCGGTGCATACACCGTCGAATACGTGGTCCCTGAAGTTGGTGAGTATTCACTTGCTGTCACTTGCGACGGAGACCACATCCCAGGTAGCCCCTTTGCTATCAGTGCATTACCGACACCAGAAGCTTCTTATTGTACGATATTCGGTGAGTCAATTGACAACCCCATGTCAGCTGTCGTCGGAAAGCCTTTGGATTTTCAAGTCGACTCGTCTAAAGCTGGTACGGGTACGTTGAAAGTGACCGCCACAGATCCAGCCTCAAAAACAATGCCAATATACCTCGCAGAGGACAACACCCCCGATGGAAACAGAATTCACACTGTCAAGGTTTTCCCGACTTTGCAGGGTTCACACAAAATGACTGTTCAGTGGTGCGAGAAAGATATCCCAGGCAGCCCCTTTTATGTCGACGTAAGTGACCCAAAGAACGTAGTAATACTGAACCTTCCTGATGCTCAGACGTTTATCGCGGAGGTTAACGAACCATTTTCGTTTGAGATAGACCCCAGAAAGGCTGGGAAAGGAGAGATCAAGGCGGCCTACAAGATGGAGGATGGAATAATGCAGAGCATTGAAGTTACAGAGCAAGAAAACGGAACATTTGTGGCAAAGTGTGTACCAAAGGAAGCAGGGACGATGGAGTTACTTCTTACCTTCAGTGGAGCCAACATTCTTCAAGCTCCTTGGGTGTGCAACGTCGCCAACCTCTCCCTTTTCCAAGTCAATCACCCAAAAGGCTACGGAAGGCAGAAAGGAATGTGTCAAGTTTGTGATCACCGGTCTGACAAAGAAAAGCCTGTCAAATATGGCCATTGCTGTGAAACACCCCCAACACAACGCAACGGTCAAGGTAGAGACCGGGAGAGACAGAACTGCAGTGGTTCGCTTCACTCCAAAACACGTTGGTGAGTATAGATGCGAGGTGCTGTGCGGAAAAAAGCACATTCAAGGCAGCCCTTTCTACGTGCTAGTAGCCAACCCAGATGAGTGTACAATCGATGGTAAAGTACCATCTGTTATTCCAATATCACAAAAGGCAGAGATTCTGGTTAACACCAAAGACGCTGGGCCTGGTGAACTATCCTTCTCGGCAGAGACGAGCGGGGGAGAGAGCAGCTCGTGCCTTGAGTGTGAAATGAGAATTAAATCCACCGACCCCACCTCTCAACAAGTGGTCCTAAAGGGAATCCACTGCGGCAAGTGCAACGTCTTCCTAAAATGGGCCAATTACAACATTCCCGGGATTCCAGTTGAAATCAACGTTGTGGATCCACAGAAGTGCACGTTTTCCTGCACGTCTCTGACTGGAGGACCAGTAAAACTGGGAAACACTGTGGAAGTCGATATTGACACCACCCACAGTGGGAACTGCTTGCCTGAGGTAGCAGTGAAGGGTCCAAAGGCAGAATGCCCTGTTGAGCTGTCACAACAGAGTGATGGGAAGTATCTGGCAAAGTTTTCACCTTTCGAGGAAGGGGATCATACGTTGGATGTGACGGTAGGTGGAGCAAGGATTGCAGGGCGTCCGACGAAATTTGAAGTTATAAAACCGATCGATCCGAGCAAGATAACTGTCGGTGGTCCCGGGCTGAAAGGAGCCGTCGCTAACAGACGAGCAGAACTGACCGTGTTTGCAAGAGGATCTAAACTCATCGAGAGAGGTCTGCTGACAGCCGACTTCAAAACCACCAGCACTTCTTCCCTCAGAGACGTTGATTACCCTGCGGTTGACTGTAAGGACAATGGCAATGGTACCTACAACCTCTCCTTCGTTCCCAAGACTACAGGTGTGCTGCAACTGAGCATCAAAACCGAAGGAACCCAAGTACTTGGAAGTCCTTTCAACATCAGGATTCGCCCCGAACCAAACGCCCACAACTGCACTATTTCAGGAAAAGTCATCGACGATGGCTTCTTTGCAGTGATTCGAGAACCGGTTGAGTTGACTGTGGACACGTCGTCAGCTGGCTCCGGGTCTCTGAGTGTATCTGGAGTCCAACCCGACCACACTCCTCTCAGGATATTCGCATCAGAGGAACGCACGGGGCAGAAGATGCTACACTTCCTCAAGTTTGACCCTGTGCTCATCGGAATTCATCTGGTGTCGGTGAAATGGGAAGGGGAAGAAATTCCGGGGGCTCCCCTAAGCATAACAGTCCTCGACCCATTGAAGTGCAGTATAGAGGAGAGCCTGCCAACTTGTCTCAAGATTGGAGCCTGTCGCAGTCTCGCAATCTCCACAGCTGGTGCCGGAGAGGCAGAGTTGAAACCCCGTGTGACTGGCACGGGGCTAACTGTCATCTGTGAACAACACAATCCCGACATGTGCACTGTCACGCTCAGTGCTGTTCAGTTCGGTGAGGCTGAAGTTGACCTGAGATTTGGGGGGTTCAGCATCCCTGGATCTCCCTTCACTGTCTCAATCTGCGATCCCTCAAAATGCTCCATTGACACTGAAGCAATGACTAGTAAAAACCTATTTGTGGGTGTACCCTTTAATTTCACAGTGACGACAACGGGGGCTGGTAGAGCGAAGCTACAGGTCAAACCCAGTACCACAGAACACCAGTACACCATTGACATAAAGAGCACTGGTGAAGAAGAGTGCTACTCTGTCACGTGCACGCCTTGGAACGTAGGGGAGCAAGAGTTGGAGATTACTTTTGGTCAGACTGCGATCCCTGGTAGCCCGCTGCAGTTCGCCGTGTCAGACCCAAAGAAGTGTGTCATTACTGGACTACCAGACCCAAAACAGTTCATTCCGATTGTCGGGGAGCCAATCTTCTTCGCCGTGGACAGCACATGTGCTGGACCTGGAGCACTTACTGCACTGGCTACTTCTGCAGACGAGCTGACAGAGGAGCTGGAATCAACTGAGACAGGGACTGTGGCTAGTTTCAGCTACCTGCCCAAGAGACCGGGAACGCTCGAGTTCACCCTGGAATTCAACGGAGTCAGTATTCTGAGTAGTCCGTGGGTGAGCGAGGTACCGGATCCCAGCAAGTTTAGAGTTACCCCTCCAAAAGGATACGGGAAAACGAGAGAATGTGTCACCTTTCTAATCACCGGGCTAACGGAAGGGACCAAGAATATAAAACTCAAAGCAAGCCACCCTGATCACGATGCTACGGTCAAGACAGAGCCCGGTAAAGACGATGGGACGATGATTGCTCGTTTCACAGCCAAGCATGTCGGGGAATACATTGTCCAGGTGAGCCACTCTGGACAGCACATTGAAGGTAGTCCCTTCACTGTCTCAGTGTGCGACCCAGATGCCTGTCAGGTCACGAATCCACCACCCAGCGCTCTCCACATTGGCGTCAAGCAAGTCGTCTCTGTCAATACGTCCGCAGCAGGTCCAGGGGAGCTCTCTGTCTTCTCCGAATCTCTCTCTGGTGACGTAGAGATTGAAGCCGAGGCGAAAGAGCACGACGAATTCGGAAGCTACAGCATTGAGTTTCTTTCAAATAGTAAAGGCTCAGGAAGGCTGAGGGCACTATGGGGTGGCTACAACATACCCTCAGCTACTTACGAAATCAGCTTTGTCGATTCGTCCCAAGTAAGGTGGTCCAGCAAGCCCGACCTTCTAACGGATGTGGTTACTCAGGGGGAGAGGATATGTATTGATATCAACGGCCGGGAGGGAGGAAAAACAGTTCCAAAACTGAACCTAACCGGGTCTCAGTCTTCATTTGCCGTTGAAGTGATCTCCAACAATGACGGTACCTTCACTGCTAACGTGAACACGTGGCAGGTTGGCCAAAACACGATCGAGATTCTGTGGGGAGACCAGCCAATACCGAACACACCAATCAGTTTCAATGTTGTCAAATCAGTCGATGCTAGATCAGTCACGGCTACGGGTGAGGGTTTGAAACACGCCGTCACTGGAATCCCTGCTCAAATCCTAATCAGAGCTCCAGAAACAGGTCTACTAGACAGAGGTCTCCTCGCCCTGACTTGCAAGAGCTCGGCTGACGATGAAGAAGATGAGGAGGATTCGTACCTCCCAAGTATTGACATCACAGATGACGGAGATGGTCAATATTCAGCATGGCTTCTAGCTTCTCATGAAGGTACCTATTACTTGAGCATAGTATGCAATAACCAACCGATATACGGTAGCCCGTTTGCTATCGCTGTTCAAGCTGCTGCTAATGCTAGTAAATGTCGAGCGTTTGGTGCAGCTCTGCGCATGCTGGGTAGCGGACTCACTGTCGCTGATCCGGTAGAATTCAGTGTCGACACGACTAATGCTGGATTTGGGCAACTCTCCACTAGCGTCAAGAAACCGGATGGGGGAACAAGCAGAGTGTACTCACTTGAAGAACGCAGCGAGAGAAAAATCCACCACCTCAAATTTGACCCAGATATGGTGGGTCACTACACTATGGATGTAATGTGGGGTGACTCCCACATTCCAAACAGCCCCTTTAATTTCAATATAACGGACCCCACCAAATGCTCAGCCAGTGGTATGCCTAGCTTCAGAAACATCTTCGACGTCAATCAGGACGTGAATTTCACGATTCTGACGAAAGAAGCTGGGGATGGGGGACCAAACGTGACTATCCACCGACCTGGTGGTGCTGGGAAAGTGACACTGTCTTCCACTGAAACCTCTCCCTCTGTTCATGAATACAACTTCACCACCACAGCTTTAGGGACACACTCCATAATCGTTGAGTTTGGCGGGCGTCCCATTCCCGGGAGTCCGTTCCACTTCCAAGTGATTGACCCCACAAAGTTCAGCATCACTGACCTTAACCTAAAGGGTAAGTATGCCCTCGTATGTGAGCTCGTCTCATTCCGAGTACAGGGGAAAGCCCCCCAGAATGAAAACCTGTTACTAGTGGCACACGGACCGTCGGCCGATCTGACAATTGAGAACCAGAAACAATCAGACGGATCTTACACGTGTTCCTTTGTCCCAATTGAGCCTGGATCTTACGAAGTGTTTGTGGAGTGTGCGGGAAAACACGTCAGCGGAAGTCCGTTCTCGGTACTAGTGGCAGACCCTTCCAAATGCCAGATTCTGGGCACACTCGCCGACACCATACAAGTGGGGGAGCCCGATGAGATTGTGGTGAAGACGAGAGGAGCTGGAGCGGGAGATATCCAAGTCTATCTCGACGGAGAGACAGAGAATGATGCAATAGAGTACAGCGTTGAGAACCAGGGCCTGGACACGTACAGCATCACGCTAACCGGAAAGAAAGTTTGTCAGACCAAAGTCGGAATCCACTGGGGTGGATTTAGCATTCCTCAGGCCCCCTTCCCTCTCACTGTCTGTGACGCAAGCCTCTGTAAAGCCTTTGGGAACGTACTCATGACAAAGAAGGGAAATGCCGGAGAGCGCATAACCTTCACAGTCGTCACCCACCGCGCAGGTGAGGCAATTCTAAGAGTGAAAGCCACAGGACCCTCGGCCACGTACACAGTTGATGTGCAGCTCATTAAAGAGTGTACGTACGAAGCAAGATTCACGGCCTGGGAAATTGGGGAGCACTCTATCGATGTTTTCTGGGGTCCCATGCATATACCAAAGAGTCCCTTCATTGTGAATGTGGCAAATCCAATGGATCGCATAGTCTGCAATGCCAGCGGGTCCAGGGCTGAAGCACGCCATTTCCACCCAGCCAGCAACCTTCACGATCATGTCAAACGAGGTCGGACTCCTCGACAAGAACGCTCTGAAGGTGTCGGTGATAGGAGTCCAGTCCCACGCGGAGATAACCATCAAGGACAAAAACAACGGCTGCTACGAGGTCGCATACACTGCACCTACTGCTGGGGCCTACATAGCCTCAGTCTCTTTCTACGACCGCCAAATCCCGGGCTCCCCCTTCAAGATCAACGTGGTGCCCGGTCCAGACGCCTCAAGATGTAGAGCGTACGGTCCGGCTCTCCACCCTAGTGCCATGCACATTGCAGGTACACCTCTCGAGCTAAATATCGACTGCAGTGAAGGAGGCTGTGGCGGTCTACGTGTGTATGTACAAGGTCCAAATGACTACCGTCCGCGTATCTATATGGCCGACGACGGGAAAGGCGTCTATTCAGTCAAATTTGATGCCATGAGAGCCGGGAAGTACTTTTTGGTGATTGCGTGGGCCGACAACCACATCCCTGGCAGTCCATTCAAGCTGAAGGTCAACCCCGCAGCTGATCCGTCGAAGGTGAAGGTCTACGGTCCTGGAATCACTGACGGGAGAGTGGGAGATGAAGGTTAGGCATAATACATACGTTTCAAGTTTAATTATGGTTGAAAATCCAAATGAAGGACACACAGTGAAATTTGGCATAATAATACATTAGTTATTAGCATTTTTTGGATTGCCGATATTAAGAGGTTCCGCTTTAAATTTACAAATTGAAAGTGTTATGATACAGTAGACACTTATTTATGGTGGAACCTTTACATTTGTGCACAGGAGAGTTTACCATCGACACAAAACTCGCGGTATCGGTACCTTACTGGTGAGGGTACATGGCATCCGAGACTCTTTCAAGATTGAAGCTCACCCAGTCTCGATCGACAAACCGCGTCTCCTGGCAGCCAGCTACCACCCAACCGTGTCTGGAGAATACACCATCTTTGTGCGCTGGTCCGGGGTCCATGTTCCTGGGTCACCGTTCACCATTCTCATTAGAGAAGGCAAGCCATTTTCATACTCCTTAGCAATAATACATCTCAACTAAATTATAAGAATAAGAAACATGTGTTTGGATCTACAATAATGCAGTACACCTGTAAAGTAAAAGTTGAGATTTTGATTTATTCTGAGCCTTGTTTTTGCAGCTGATGGTAGTCTACCTCTGCTGGGACCTTACCTTCCAGAACTTTCCGCTGAAGATGAGCCGCTGGCTGCACTGGTGTGTCAAAAACGCTTCAGAGCTAAACACCATTACTCTCTCTCCCCTCTATATGACTGCAGGAGGCTGGTCCAGTTGAAAGCAACACTGATCCAAAGTCTGGAAAGAAAGCTAAAAAGAGCAGAAAGGAAGAGAAGGAGAGTGCAAAAGCTAAAAAGGCCAGCGCAAAGGCAGCAACAGCTAGTTTGAAGAAGGAAGAGAAAGCCAGAAAGAAGGCGGAAAAGGAGATGAAAAAGAGCAAAACAATGTGAGTCACCAACAATTGATGGTTACATCATGATTACGTAATTCCAATCAACAGACCACCACATTCAATTGGGCCAGTTCCGACGGACCTGAAGATGCGGTCTAGTCCAATGGGTGGATTCACAGTCCAAAGCCAGGTGCGACATGAACCTCTACTGCCACCAGACATACACAGAGTTCCACTGAAGTCTATATAGCTGATGTGTTAGCTAAGTCTGTATCCATTTCTATCATGTGTGCTAAGTTTCACTGAGTTATAGCAAATGCTTTCCCTGAATTTGTGCCACTTTTCGTTGCGTTCGCTAAGGTGTAGCAAAATTTTAGATAAGTCTGTATTCATCATGTTTGCTAAGGTCCACTAGCTAAGGTTCACTGGCTGAGTCTGCAATTATCTCCATGTTGTTTGCTAGTATAGTCTAGCTGCGAGTCTGTACTTTATATGTTGTTCTGCAGGTCACCCGCTTCCACCAGGAGCACTGATTGCACCAGATGGTAAGATTTAGTAACGCTACCCTGGTAACGTGTAGACCATAGTGCCGTAGGTTCGAATCTCACTCAAAATGTGCTTTCCTGGGTGTGGTTCAAATGTGCTTCCCTCGTGCTTAGACCTCGTGATAAATAGACTACCTAGCCCTCTATGTGTGGATAAAGTATGCATTATTTGTGTTTCCAGGTCAGCTGGTGGTGCGGAGTCCCTCGGGCCAGTTCATTCCAGTACAACTGATGTTCCCACAACAGCACCACAAGATGAGGGTAAGTTTTGCTACGAGGTACACACACACATACTACACAACATACACTGTACATTAACCCCATTACTGTGAAATATAATAATGTGCAACATGAATAGTAACTCTGAGCCGGGATTGGAGCACAGAATGCTAAACTGCTTTGACCCTACATTTTAGGATTTGTATAATAAATACTACATCAGTGAAAACCCTCTTACAATGAATAGCTATCGTAGCACTGTATCGAACTGTAGGCACCATCCTGATTTTTGAAACTGTTTTTTTAGGTGATGACTTATTCTGATTTTTGCAACTATTCTGTAGGTGATGACTGAGAAACATCATCATCATCACCCACTCAGGAAGTGACGAAAGAGATGAAGAGACGTCTAGCTCACCTGCACACTCTCTCCCCGTTAGCCCCACCCATGCAGCCACCTTTGACCCCAACCCCCAACACCAACCGCAACCAAAAAAGAAACGTCGCAAATTTTAACACAAATACCTCACCCGTGTACAAACAATTCTCCTTGTACATATACATGTAGCAAACAATTTATTTCCTATTGTATTCACATTTATCGTGTATTTATCCTTTTTTGACGACAATATATCAGCAGTGAAAAATTCAAAATACCGTCAAGAAAAGGTACACAGAGCAAGTCACCATTACTTCCCTCATCCACTGTATGGTTCGAAATAGACAAAAGATTCTCTCAGTTTCTTGGACGAAGTACAGGCATCTCCGACTGGAGTGACTCGGAATGTGTACGAATCTTGGAGCTCCAGTTGAGTCAGGCTCACTGGACTGGTACCTGACGATGGAGGATAAGCACGCATGCATTTTTGCAAAAGCAGTTTGCCGGCAATGGTGCGTGGCACACTAAAGCCAAGTTTTGTGTGAAAAAAACTTTTTGCAAATTAACGTGCGAAATTTGCAAAATTTGTAAAATTTGTGACATTAATAGGGTGCACCAACTGATATACAGTGAAACCTCAGAAAGGATCCCTAGCTAAAGGACACCTCTCTATAATACAAAGATAATTAGTTTTATAAACCCCATACTAATACAGGTCTCTGAGTAAGGGACAGTTTTGAAGTCTTATTCAGTGTTTCATTAACCAACCTAATGCCCTCTCAAACCCTGTCTCCATTCCTACATACATACACCCTCACATGATTCCGTCACGAGATCACCATTCAGGGTACAGGTGAAGCTGGCAACTGGTCCGACACCAGCAAACTCAGCAACCACAGTCCCTCCAGTTCTGAACTCCAGTCCCCTATTGACGAGGTGGACACTGCAGGCCAGGGGGTCAGGGTCCAATCTTATTCTTCTACTGGCCGATGCTGATTCAGCACCCGTGATTACAGTGGAGATAACAGTATAGAAGCCTCTTTTGGTCACGTTGGAGAACACTGCTCGACCACCAGTACCTGCAAATAATACACCACACTTTAACTCTTTGAACACTGACTATGTACTTCTAGGCTGAGCCAGAAGCACAATGGATTGGGAAATCTTTACTACGTTGAAAATTACTAAGTGTGGTAGTGCCTATAAGGATGACACTGCATTATGCTCTTACGTCATGTGAGATTTCACGTTTTAATAGTTCGTAACTGGCAGTTGGGGTAGCAAACTGAAAATTCACTCACAATCAGTGGTCTGTACGAGGACATGTCTTCTGTTGAAGAGATCACATGAGATAGTCTGAGGCAGACTCCGCCCCCTGGTGTACAAGACAATTTCGACATTACCACCACCACTGACTCGTGGAGTGTCGTCCGTGAAGTATATCTCCAGTGGAACTGTGGGGCAGAGGCACAGGCAGTTAAGAACGCTAAAATCTAATCCTGGCTCAATGTTTGTTCGTACAAGCTGCAGCAATGTGCTAACAATTCTTGGTCGACTAGATGCGTAGTATTATATAAATGGGTTATTTGAACTGTATTCTACAGGTATTGCTAATGTATTCAGGATGGTTGGTTAGCCTGTAATTCTCCCCACACTGTGCGAAAATATTAGCTCCTAGAAACACAGGGATCCTAAAGCCTTGGTTTTCTTAATCTGTTAGCAGTTTCCTATGACTTGTTGTACAATTGTATTTCCCAGCTAATGAATTAGACATCTGAGTATTTCATGGCTCTGAGTGACAGTTCACCACAGCGCATAATTATGTGTCAAGAATGTCAAAGGCAAACCGAACAACATAAGGACATGTGAACTTACAGCAGTCAGGGTCAGAGAGAGCACCAAACTGCCCCTGGTCGTCAATGGTAACACTGACAGAGTTAGGCTGCAAGATACATCGGGGGTCGACCCCTCTAATTACCACGTGAACATCTCGTTGGGGTCATCCTCACACTCCTGGTCGTTAAGGATGGTGATTGAAACGCAGTGACGTTGGACCCCAGGGGCAAACTCCAGCATCTCGCTTACTGGGGCATAGTCTGACCCACTAGCTAAAGAAGAAGAGGTGGAGAGAGAGGAGAGAAAAGATGTTGAGGAATATCAACTTTAAGGAGCACCCTTCTTGGTGGAATTCAGTTTGAACAATGCTAGGACAGTGAACCTCAGTTTGCATCGTTCATATTGGAAGTTTAGTTTGCAATGCCTAGAGAAGTAATAAGGACCCTTTGCATCGTTGGAAGTTTAGTTTGCAATGTCCAGAGAAGTAATAAGGACCCAATAGACAATCGCTTAAACATAATATATGGAGGACTTTCCCAGTATCTGAAACACTTTCACAGAGGGATAGAGGACGTAAGAAGTGTCTAGCTATATCTGACTCACTAGCACTTCCGTCAACTGTCGTGAGGTTGACAGTAAAGTTGAACCGAAGAGCCGGATAAACGCCGACGCACAATTCAAATTCACCAGAAGTCTCCTGGACTATGTAGCTAGTGCTGCCTTCGAAACCACAGCTGACCTGTACTGCAGGAGGGAGGGAGAGAAGGAGGGGAGGGAGAGAGGAGGGAGGGAGAGAAGGAAGGAGGGAGAGACGGAGGGAGGGAGAGAAGGAGGGAGGGAGAGAAGGAGGGAGGGAGAGAAGGAGGGAGGGAGAGAGAAGGGAGGGAGAGAGGAGGGAGGGAGAGAAGGAGGGAGGGAGAGAGAGGTAAAAGATATAGGGACTCAACACTCAAAACACATTTGCTACATGAAGTTCTCTTCCTTCTTACACGTGAACAACAGTGACGTTGCAAGGCAAAGCAACATTAACACAATTCAGAAGAAAGAGCTGCTCTGGGTGGGACTCCAACCCACTAGGCAGAGCACCTATGATATCCCGCTAACCCACTAACCACACTCAATTTCCAGTCCATCCTCAATGTAGACTGTCACAGAGTCTCTGCTGATGTCGATGAACTCATCGTCAGTAGTGAGAGACAGAACAAAGCTCTCTTCAGGTTCCTCGCAGATACCGTCGTCGGTGACAGACACACTGAGGCAGTTGCGTCGCTGAGACAGAGAGAATGGTCCCAGCGGGACATCTTGTAGTCCAGTGTAATCCTCTCCAGCAACTTTGAAAACAGCAGAGGAAGAGAAAGGAGAGAACAATTGGGTTTAGAGAGAACGATTGAGAGAGAGAGCTCCTTTAGTAAGTTTCTTAATGGCAAAGCAAACAAGTCAACTACACCCCGAACAGCTCTTTTACTCTCCATGGAAAAAGAAGAGCTGCCCTGGGTGGGATTCTAACCCATGACACTCTGCAGTCCAGGTACCAACTGAGCTACCAGGACAACCCAGCTGGTAGGGGTTCATCCAACACAGCACACAACACAATGGTGGGACAATTAGTACTAGTACCAGCATCTCTGTTGGAAGAAGAGAGGAGGAGGAAGAACTCCCTCTCTGCCACGGCAGGACTCAGGATCTCAGCACACACCACGACACTGCCACTGCTCTCTCCCAGAGCATAGACCACCTCCTCAAACCCCGTCCGCACAGTAACTGCACCAGAGAGGGGACACATAAGAGAGAGATATAGTAGGACACTGCTAGTAGTACAGTTACTGTTGCTACTGTATGGACTTGTACAGATTTGTAGATTCTGAGGCAGACAATTTTGTGTGTCAAGCAAAACATTTACAGCCGACTAAAATTTATTTGCCTCACTGCATTCAGGAGAGTCATAAATGACGACGGATGCAGAGTCCTGTATGGCGGTTCTCCCGTTCTCGGTGCTGGTGAGTTTGAGTCCGAAACTCTCGGTCATGGTTGCCTCACAGCGGGAGTCCTGGACTAGGAGGAGCAGCTGACACTGCTGGGTGACGTTGGGTCCAAATGATAGGTCACGTGACACGGACACATAGTCTTCTCCTGCACCTGAGGTTATTATGTATTAATGTTGACTTGGATGGTTTGATATCTATATAATGCCTGATTTTTTAAATTTCGCAGAATCACTGTCTTGGCTTTGGCTGGTAGCCGATCTAATTAATACATACACACATACCAAACTATGGTAGAGAGAAAGGCATACTATTTGTAGCTAAGCAGGCACTCTCTGCAACTCAGAAAAAAGAAATCTGTGTTGCGAATAATTCTAAATACGTGTGGCAAATAGAACTGTTCGTGCTCGTCGCTCACCAAAAATGCGTTGCATTCGTTCTAGAAAGTGCTACGTTGCAGATCTTACGGGCAGTGATGTCATAGGTGGAGAGGGTGAGAGAGAAGGAGGAAGAGGAGGAAGATGGAGGGCTAGAGAACGAGGCACACACGACAGCCCAGCCCACCTCCTCCGACGACACAAATGACGTCTGCTGAAACCTGACTGTCCCTGGAACTGCATAACAAGGTTGTGAGAGAGGCACATGTGTAGCTATCACGGCCATTTATGGGGCAAAAGCTTTAAAGCTACATGTGTTTAACTTTTGCGTCTATTACCGGCTAATGGTGTGGGTTTGTTTTCCACAAGCAGGGCATTTTATAATTGATGTACAATATTCCCATCATTGCAGCAAAAGTGCAAACTTTGACTGTTTTCCCTGTTTCTCCCTCCCCTCCCCTCCCCTCTCTCACCACACGGAGGAGAGTCCAGGATGGTGACGGAAGCGACACCAGGCGACAGGGTGACATTGGGGTCAGAGGAACTCAGTCTTATCTGGAGAGTCTCGCGCGGCGAGCTGTCGCAGATCCCGTCGTCGGCTATCAGGAGTGAGAGAGGCAAGGTCCTCTGATTATTGGAGAGTTGGACTGTCAGAGACGAGGCAAGGTAGTCCACGTTGGGAGCTGAAATTATAACAGCAGAGAGAGAGAAAACATTAAACTGTGTTCTTCAGAGACAGTGTTGCACTTGAAGGTTCATAATATTATATAATTGTAAAACATTTGTCATATTTATAATACAATTCAGTTTGTATGTGCTTCAAACGTGCTGTGAATGCATCACATTATTGCAGGAGACCTCTCTACACTAAAAAGCTATCGGGGGAATTTTGGGGGAATTTTTTCGCTGCGAAATTCGTTTGCTAAGACACAATTTCTTTTCGACGATGCTGATGCATTCACATTTCCTTGTAAGCTATACTGACTGGCAGTTCCAGGTACAGTCTGGACTGTGATTGTCACGTTCCTCCTGAGGACGACTGGTGACGACACGTTAACCACAACGCCGAGAGGTTCGTCAGTCTCTCTGGCGGTGTAGCTGACCTGATCGAACCCCACCACCACTGGAACTGGGGGAGACAGGGGGACAACACATAGTACATTAATGGAGGGAGAAATATAATTATTATGACATATCTGCAAAATTTCTTGCAGTGGAATTCATTTGCTGAGACAGGAAAACGCTTACTTCACCATTTACGCCGCATTAGTGAATTTGTATACGAGATAATTGGTGTTGCCATCAGCTTAAGACACTAAGGAGACATGATTATGATAGCTATTGAAGGTATAGCCTCTCCATAATGATAATAATTATGACAGTCTTATCGGAGGTCCCAATGTACCACAATACTTACTGCACTCAGCTGCCTCCTCAATGGTGATAGTGGCAACGCTGCTCGACCCCCTGACCTCTACACTGGATCCTTCCTCGCTCCTGACGATGGCACTGAACACCTCCGGACGGGGATACCCCTCCTCGTCAACCTCTCCCTCGCACACGGCGTCTCTCACTATGGTAACGGAGAAACACTGGACGGTGTTGCTGGCGGTGAAGGGACCGATGATGACATCAGAGAGAGCGAGATAGTCAGAGGGGGCAGCTGCATGTGACATAAACAACAGAGGAAAATATGTATGTCTGTTTATCAAGTAACTATGGAAATGATGAACCAAAAGTGTCTTGGTGTCGTTGAATTGTTCGATGTGCACTTTCTTTGTGCTGATCGTGATAAAGATTTGATCATGATAAGATTTGATCACGATAAGACTAAGATTTGATCATGATAAGAAACAGACAGACTCACTGGCACTGGCGTCCTGCGTGGAGACGAGGAGACTGAACGGCTGGGTGGTGGGGAAACCCCCTCTCTCTATCCTCACACACACCTCAGTACTGCCTGCTCCCTCGTATGTGGTGAATGACTGCTGCTCCAGACCCACCTCTACCGACGCTGGGTGAGAGGAAGGAGAAAAAAGTTCGGGGTGGTTCGACTGTACCGATGTGCTCGAACCACCCCGAACTAGTGCACACCTTGTTTCCCTTGTAAAGATGTAGCCTCGCATAGCTAGCAAGGTGGGTAGAGTTCTTTCACATGGGTGCTAGGTTATGTATAGTCGAACCACCCCGAACTAGTGCATAAGCACCCTGCACACTTTGTTTCCCTTGTAAAGATGTAGCCTCGCATAGCTAGCAAGGTGGGTAGAGTTCTTTCACATGGGTGCTAGGTTATGTATAGTCGAACCACCCAGAATTAACCTAGACACACAGGAATGATGTGGTTTGAAGAGCTTCAAGATAATCTAAGATCATTGTGAAGAAACGGCAAGCAACCTAGTGGGCAGGCATGAGGGTGTACTAAAACCAGGTCGGAAATTCCGGCTCATGTGTTCAGTTTGTGGTAGCAAAATCGCATATGAAATGTGATAGCAGTCAATAATAGATCACTTATGGAACCGCACAGTTGTTAAAACCTACTGAAAATAGAACTATACTATAGCGAAACATAACCTACTGCAGATAAAAGATGAACTTTATGCCATACAACCACCACAGCAAATAAAATAGGGAGTTAATTAACACTTAACCACTTAACCAGCCACCCCGACACATAAATGTTCCCAGAGATCCATAAGTCATAAGAATTTATATATGGGTTATAATACTAGGCGCTATACTTTATAAATCAATTTATGCTTATTTAAGCACATCCCCGTGGCGTCAAAGGTGTTTAACGCAAACTACATGCAGAGGGCGGACTCCTGATGATCGACGTCCGTAACCAGGGAGGGAGCCACCACAACCATCTGTACTGCTGCGGGCACGTCCGCGGACGGACGAGAGAGAAAACCTCGAGACCTTCTTCGCAAGTCTCCGTCGTCAAGATGTCCACACTCGTGAAACACAGTGTCCTGGCTCACCTGTCCCTGGAGAATATCAGACCTCTTTCACCTTCTATACTAGGACAGTCATCTCCTTCATCGCACAACGAGACATACCTTAATACAGTAATAATGCTTACATTTCCGTAATGCGGAGATAGCAATACTGGTACCATAGCATCATAGAGTAGTAATAATGTTATATCAACAAGTACTGAGTGAGTGGGACAACTGGAGTTCTCAAGGAAATATATGAGTACTACACACCACAGATCCAGTCTACAGATGACCACGAGGTGAGTGTTTTCCCTGACCGGCAGTCTGGGAGCGCGTGAGGAGCCATAACCCTGACACCTCCCTCTCCACGCTACCGGGGGAGAGAAGCAACTGTGCGCAGCTGTCGCGCACTAGCAAGCGTACGTCTCGCTGACTCCTGCATGCTCGGTGCGACGACAAGACCACTCTCAACCGGACTGGGAGGGAGACAGAGAGAGGAGAGAGATGAGGAGGGAGAGAGAGGAGAGGGGAGGAGAGAGAGGAGAGGGAGGGGAGAGAGTGGGCGGAAAAGGAGAGCGACGAGACGGACGAGGGGAAGAGAGCACGCGACGAAGGGAGAGAGGAAGAGAGCGGACGACGGGGAAAGAGATCGCAGGAGAGAGGAGAGAGAAGAGAGAGCGAAGAGACGGCCAAGAGACGAGGAGAGAGGAAAGACGACGGGGAGCAGGAAGAGAGAGGAGAGAGGAAGAGACGAGGGGAGAGGGAGAGGAAGAGGAGAGGGCTCGAGAGGAGGCGAGAGGAAGAGAGATGGGGACAGGGGAAATATAATTATTTCAGTGCCCACCATCACAGTAGATAGGCCAAAATTTTCAAAGGGAGACAAACCTCGGATAATCTAACGACGGCATTTTTCGTGAGTGATCATCAGATGGAGCCAGGCGCTGTTTTTCGCCCGTCATTTAAAAAGGCGAACCGAAAAGACATTGTCTCGTGACGAAAGTTTGCTCCAGTTTGTTGCAGATAGAACTTAAACAGGAAAACAAGTTTTATGGTATATGGGGCCCTACATAGATATACGTTGTAAACATGAAAACACTGTACGTTAGGTATTGGGCGCCAAAGACAAATGTTTTCTCTACTGACCCACCCCCTTATCATAGCCCAACACTCAATTATGGAGACGAGGTAGAGAATTCAGAGTAGGCACTCTCGGATGTGGGTTTGCCAGAAAGAAGAGAGACCGAACGCCCAACCAGGATTTCGCCCATCGTCGATCGCTGTACTTACGACCAGTCAAATGGCCTCCTGGAGGTTACACACTTCTGGTGGCATAGGAGGACACAAAACATGATCGTGCCGTGCGCGAGAGCGTTCAATCGTGAAGAAAATCCGGAAGGGTCGTCTCCAAGAAGTTGTCATTGACGAACGTCACTGGAAAACATTTAATTCGAGACGGTTCAGTACCAGGGCAACACACACCACCAACCACGCCCACCAGACGACGTACATCGGTTCCTCTTGCGCTCTAAGACAGGGGCAGAGCAGCGCGGAAGGACAGGGAGGGATGGAAGGGCCGGCGAGGGAAGGAAGGAGGGAGGGAACGACGGGAGACGGAGGGAAGGAGGGACGGGAGGGCGAGAGGAAGGAAGGAGGGAGGGAGCGAGAGAGGGAAGGAAGGAGGCGCAGGCGGATCAACGAGAGGGAGGCCGCGGTGGAGGGAGGGGGAGAGATGGCGACCGGGACGGACGCAGAGACGCACACTGACCAAAGTTCTGTTATTTCAGTCCACTGTATATACTACAGACCACATGATTGCTAATCCGCGATAGCCGTGATAAGGGGCCTCAGCCAGAGTTTTCCATGTTTTTCTGCCCTTAAAAGCTATAAAAAAGTGTCCCTCCAAGCATCGATCCAATTCTTATGTAGCCATGTACGCACCTCGTCGCAAACTCAAAAGTGGCAAAATGTTTACACACAACAGAAAATTCTCTGTGTACATCTCTCACAACTTGCCGTGCCGTTCTCTGGTGTTGGCCCGTCCCGTGGTCAGGTTGAAACGAGCTCCAAACCTCTCGCCCTACGGCTTCAAAAGCTCAACCACCCCACGCCGATGATAATTCCATGCCTCTCCCTCACCATCGTACGTGAGTCGGATGACCCTGCTCCACTACACTTGCTGGGGACGGCGGGAAGAACTGCTCTATCATATGACTACTTCAATCAGGCCCATAAGTGCGAAACTTTACATTGTCAACGTATGCTTTTGATAACTTATTACATAATGATCTAAGAATGTAGCAAGTTGTTTAGCTTTGCTAACACTCAGCTAATTAGTTACAATAAGACAGGAGCTAAACCAATAAGGCCAAGACCTGCCAAGAACCGTAATAAACTGTCCATTTTCAGTAGCAGGGTACCTCATGCAATATGCCACAATCCCACTCTAATCCGATAAGTTGAATGAATTTTCAGTAGGCCCCCCCCAATATGTACCCATCCACAGTCCAATTTACACACCACACTCGTCAACTCAGTTGTGCCATGATTGACACCTGAGCATTTTGACCGGGAGGGAGGAAACGAGACGACCGAGGGTCAGAGGATTGCAGACCGACAGGTTAGAACCTCTCTGACCCGCTCGCACTCTCCGTCGTCTATATATCGACGGCCACACAGCACGACCTTATGTGTTCCTTGTAACCCGCGGTCCAAGTGGACCCACCGTGACGTGCGTCAAGTGTAGAACGCAACTCTTCCCTGCCCTTCTGGAGGACGAGAGACGACCGAGAGATGACGCAGAGGCAGCACGGGAGACAACAGAGTGTTGAGTGAACTGTTCTGTTTGAGTGTCACACTGAAAGTGCGTTGAAGCACGTTCAGCATTCGACTGATATGCTACTGATTCATGCCCCACATGACTTTTTCATCCGAAATCGACAGTAGTCGGCAGAAATATGCTAAACCAGTGCGTGTTAGAATGGCAGTTGTACTTGACGAGACCGAGAATAGACATGATATAATTAAAACTCCTAATTGTAGGCCACAGCCAGCACACAGCCCGGACTAATGCCACCGGTCATTATCACGTAACCAAGCGACCAACTAGATGCCACGGTTAGTATGGAGGACAAACAGAAAGAATCGTCGTTAATTAAGCCGGAGAGAGAGGCTCGATGACTGATAAGGTTAATGGGGAGGAAACCCATACTAACAATCCATACGCCCATTATTACGGCACGCTGCTGCCAAACATGACACGCTTGCAAAACTGTATGCATGCACAAACCATGCAAAACGTCTGCCTCTCACTTCAGATTATTACTGTACAATCTGCCAAGTATCGAAATACTGGAAACTGCTGCGTCAAAATCTGGCCCCCACCCATACACGACTCACATGCAGTGTTGCAAAGGGGGTGAGTGAGTTGGGACAGAACAAGTCTCTCAGGACGGGTCTGATCGGGACCAGAGGACCCTCACACACACCTGCACGTGCACGACCTCCTCAACGACCACGTTTAGGACGTTTTACTGTACAATCCCACACACACGAGTCTGGAGGGCCGAGACGCAGAGCTCGTTCGTACTATGTGGCAGTACATAAAAGAGCTAAATTCAGAAATGTTGCAAAATGGCAACAGGGCTAAGTGGAATTCTGTTTAACAATTTAGCCTTTATATTAAAAAATGTAATTATCCATTAACCGTTTGAGTCAAGAGATTGTTGTTTGGGAAAATCACGGCTTCTCACAACCCTTTAATTAGACTAACATATCTCATAAGTTGCCCACTGCATTCGGGCTCGCCACTGTCGTCAATAGCAACGCCGATCCTCCTGGGACCACGGTGAGTGGCATCACTGGTGACCATGGGGTACCCGAGAAATCCTCGGGGTACGGGTTTTGCTTCGCAGGACAGGGGGGTGTCGAATGTAAGACCAGCGAGCGCAACCACAGTCCGCGCAGTTTTTTTTCTTTTTTTTTTGTTTTTGGCGACGTTGTCAAATGCCCAGGACCGCCTGGTGCTCATGTATAGTATACCCCTGCCCCCCTCTTGGGAAAAGTGGAGAAAGCCGAGAGATGGCGGGTGTGTTAAGGGGTTTAAAACGTTC